TATATATATATAGAGAGAGTCATTAATTTTTGTAATAAACAAGAGAAAAAATGTATGTGTATTTGTTTCTATACATATATATATATATATATGTATATATATATATATGAGTGGATGTACGGGTGTAAATATTTTTTTTTTCAACAGCTATTAATAGTAAAGAGCCATATATATCTTTATGTATATATATATATAAATATATGTATATATATATATATCATATATATATATATTGTATAGCTAATAGTATGTATATTTGCTTGCACGTTCTCAAATATTCACTGTCACTTCTTTGATTACTACACAACTTTTTTATTGTACCAATCGCATCTTTAGTATTATATATAGTTGAAGTTTGTTGGAAAGATAGATAGATAGAGGGAGAGAGAGAAAGAAAGAAAGAGAGAGAGAGAGAGGGGGGGGGGGGATTTAGAGATGGCAATAGAAACAGTGCGGAATTCTAAAATCATTAAAGCGACGATATTTTTCTGTGTAGTAACTGAATAATACTACAATTTGACTACAACCTTATCATTCAATAGCATATATATATATATATATATATATAACCGCATATATATATATATAGTTAAATAGATCTTATAAAGCTATGGTATAAGGGCTGCATATACTTTATATAGAATGTATATTTATAAAACTGTATATTAATTTAGCTTTAATAAAATTAATAGTGACGACAAGAATTTAGTTAGAAATATTGATAAATGTAATAAAAAGAACTATCCATCGCTAGAAATTCGGTAGATTTCATAAATAACTCGATATATATATTATATATATATATGAATACATACACAATGTATGAATGGTTTTATATATATAATATATATATATATGGTTTGCAGGAATTGGCTATTACACTGAAGCATTGAAAAACAACTAGAAATAGAGTAAATTTATTTTTTGGTTCTTTATCTCATCATTTTTCGTTTGTTGTAATAAAAGAAATACATGGATATGACGATTTTGTTGTTGTAGTATTGTACAATACAATACAATACAATAACATACAATACCAGCCCATACAATACAATACATTACCATACAATTCCATACTATACAATACAATGCCATACCATTCAATACAATACAATTCCACGCCATACAATACAATGCATTACCATACAATACAATACATTACTATACAATTCCATAACATACAATACAACACCATACCATTCAATACAATACATTACCATTCAATACAATACATTACCATACAATACAATACAATACATTACCATTCAATACAATACATTACCATACAATACAATAGAATAAAATAAATAATTAACTAAATATGAACAAACTATCACTCTAGATCGCATACATCACGTGATGTTACTTGTGAAAAGTAAAGTATAACGATAATAAGTGCAAAATGAACACTTCATTACGTCATAACCACTACATAGATACAGAGATATTTATTTAAACTTTGGCTGGCATGGATCTTTCAAGTGTGAATGAAATCTATGTGAGATGATAATTTTTTCTCTATGGACTCCTGCAATTTATTACAGGTTTCTAATTATCTTTTTCATAATATAATATAATATAATATAATATTATTACTATTATTGCAATAATTTGTACGATCATCATTGATATTTTTCGTTAACATGTACTACTAACTAATTCTCTTTTAGCTTCTTCTAACTCTACTTTGGCCAGCTTAGAATCCTTTTAGACAAATATCAATAATAATAATAATAATAACAACAACAACAATAATAATAACAATAATAGTAATAATAATAACAATAAATAATAATAATTGTTATTATTATTTGATTCTCCACTAACAGGCGACAGAGAATGAAAAGCATTTAATTTCTGCTTTACTGCATTCAGCTCGTCTCTTTTGGCCTGCAAATCCTAAATTATAATTTAAATTATTATTAATAATAATAATTATTATTATAATAATAAAAAACAATAATAACCTTGGATTTTTGAACCAGGGCACTATGGTATAACGACGATGACAATTCGGCGTCCGTTAATTCCGACTGTATGTGTGTATTTTTGAGTATTTGTGTGTATGTTTGTTTGAGTATGTCTCTCTCTCTCTCTCTCTCTCTCTCTCTCTCTCTCTCTCTGTGTGTGTGTGTGTGTGTACAGATGGATCATTTATTTACTTTAAGGCGTCGGATAGTTTTGTCATAGCCACTTAGCTTCTGGTGGAAAAATTTGGCTTTTTCCGATTTTCTTTTCAAATCATGATCTTCAACTTTACAATGGGATTCTAGATCTTTCTGCAGACTTCGTGAATAATAATAATAATAATAATAATAATAATAATAATAATAACAACAATAATTTTCTCCTGTCAAATCAGCAAACAGGCAACAACCAGTCTTAGCTCGTTGATATGATCAGCGCGAGCAGTTAATAATAAAAACAACAACGATAATAGTAATAACAAACATAATAATTAATAATAATAATAAAAACAATAATGATGATAAGAATAAATAATGATAACAATAATTAATAATATTATTGAGAGTTACAGACTTTTGTAACTTTGCGGCTAGCAT